GTCATCAGCCTGAAAGGAAGCCATAGCCGCACCCCAGGAATTACTCTGCCTCACCCTGTGGAGCAAAAGCCTGCCTGCTGATTGTAGAGTGACTAGAATAACAACAGAAGGAGTCAGCCTCAGGCCGTAGATCCCTGGTAGCCTCAAATGGGTTGCCTGAAGCCAGACTGAGACACCATCTGACATGACCAGAGGTAGATCCAAAAAGGAAAAACAGTGCTAAATACTAGATGTTACTGAGACAAATTCCACCATGGTCTTCCTCATAATTGGTGATATTTTTTCTCCTGCATAGTTTTTTAACATTCATTTCTTGTCCTTTGAGTGTGTGAATATTAAGTCACTAGATTTTATATTGTAGTTTATTTTAATTCTCAATATTTTTCATATTTTGCTTCTCCCTTCTCTTACTCCACTTGACCTTCTTCTTTCCTTTTATTATCTTCATTTTAAATTTTGATTTTCTCCTTTGCTACAACTTGTTTCCATTCCACATTCTTACTATTTCTCCACCGTCCAGCCTCTCAAAACCAATTTTCTTGTCAATGGTCATCTCACCTTCTTTTTCCCACTTTTAACATACCTGCACTCTCTCTCTACCTTTATCAATCGTTGCTCGTTGGTTGTGAATAGGGTAGTTGTTGCTGCATTTTTTTCTATTTTATCTCTAGATCTTCACTATTTTTGTATTTCAGATCTCATATTTTACCGTTCCCCTCTCCTACTCCATTCTGCCTTTATCCTGCCCATTCTTTTATTCGTCTCAAATTTAGATTTTTCCCTGTCTCAGCTTGTTTTTTGTTCCTCATTCGTACTTAGTATACCCTCTCCCTCTATCATCTCAAAATCACTTCCCTTTCTTCTAGACATCTTAAACTTTTCTTTCTTTCTTTCTCCCCTCTTAATTCCCTTCCTACCTGTATTAATCTTAGCTCATTTGTTGTTCATAATCTGTGGTGGATCTTTTTCTCCACTTGGGTTCCTTTTTGAAAAAAATATTCTCTTTCTCTCCATTTTTAAAATTTCTCTTTAAACCTAATATTACACACTTCCATTCTAATACTCCATTCCAACTTCTTCATTCCCTTTTTCACTTACAATGTAAATTTTACTTTCTTTTTTTGCATTGCTTTGCTCCAATGCCCTGCTCTTATTAGTGCTCCTCCGTCTACCCTCTCAGAATCATTTTTCTTTCAGTTAGTCATCTCATATTTACTTCTCCTTTCTTATAATAATATTAATCTCTTTACACCCTTATTAATACTGCTTCAGTTGCTATTGACAGTGGGATTGTAGGTGGGAGTTATTTTGCACAACCCTTGGCTGTGTGGTTTTGCTCTGGCAGCACCTGCACAACACTATACAAGATGTGGTGGGTGGAGTGACCCTTAGTAAGTCAGCTAGAGTGAAGGATCCATCAAAGAATGACCCAACAACAGTCAAAACCCAGTTATATCCAGATAGCCAACATAAAGGGCATTCTAAGAGATCAAGGCCAGGAGATCAAGGAGACAGCACTACTGAATCCCACAGGTCTTCTACAATAGAAGTCACACCACAAAGACAGGGAATCAAAGCAGATCAATTTAAGACACAGAAATAGGAAGAGACTTCCTTAAAATGATAAGACAAAGAAACATCCACCAATCAAAAGGATAGGAAGAATGCCCAGAAAGAGTGCTAAATGATGGAGGCAAGTAAACTATCAGGCACTGAGTTCAAAACAATGGTTGTAAGGAAGTTCAATGAGCTGAGGGAGAATAACAAAGAACTACAGGGAAGCCAAAAGGAACTTACAGCAAATTACATCAGTATGAAGAAGGACATAGAGCCTATCAATAAAAGCCAGAAATCAAAAAGTTTCTGGAAACAAATGAAAATGAACACACAACAGCCAAAATCTATGGGGTCACAGTGAAGACAGTCCTGAGAATGAGCTTCTTAGCAAGACAAGACTGCCTAAAAAAGATAGGAAATTTTCAAATAAACAGCCTAACCCTACATCTACAAGATCTGGAGGGAAAACAACAAACAAAGCCCAGAGCTAGTAGAAGGAAGGAAATAACCAAGATAAGAGAAGAATTAAATAACACAGAGATTAAAAGAATAATTCAAAGGATCAACAAATTGAAGAGCTGGTTCTTTGAAAAAATAAACAAAATTGACAAGGCTTTAACCAGACTTGTCAAGAGAAAAAGAGAGGGGACCTAAACAAAATCTAAAAGGAAAGAGAAGAAATTACAGTCAATATCACAGAAACACTGAGGATTGTCAAACTACTATAAACCACTATATGCCAAGAAATTTGAAACCCTAGGTGAAATGGACAAATTTCTAGAAACACATAATCTTTTTATGAGGCCATCGCCATTCTAATCTCAAAATCTCATAAAGACAGAACAAAGAAAGAAAACTACAGGCCATTATCTCTGATTAACATAGATGCAAAAATCCTCAATAAAATATTGGCAAACTGGATCCAACAATACATTAAAAAGATCATAAACCATGATCAATGGGATTCATCCCAGGGATAAAAGTATGGCACAATATATGCAAATCAATAAATGTAATACATCACATAAACAAAAGCAAAGACAAAAATCACATGATCATATCAATAGATGCGGAAAAAGCATTTGATAAGGTACAGCACCCAGTTATGATAAAAACACTCATCAAAGTGGGAATAGAGGGAGCATTCCTCAACATAATAAAGGCCATATATGAGAGACCTACAGCCAACATCATACTCAGTGGGCAAAAACTAAAAGATTTCCACTGAAGACCAGGCACAAGACAAGAGTGTCTGCTTTCACCACTTCTATTCAACATCATATTGGAAATTCTAGCCACAGCGATCAGATGAGAAAAAGAAATAGAAGGCATCCAAATTGGAAAGGAGAAAATAAAACTGTCAATGTTTGCAGATAGTGCACATAGAAAACCTTATAGACTCCACCAAAAAAACTACTCAACCAAATAAGTGAATTTGGCAAAACAGCGGGATACAAAGTCAATAATCAGAAATTGAAGACCTCTTTGTACACCAACAATGAAATATCATAAATAGAAACTAGGTAAAAAATCCCCTTTAGTATTCCAACGAGAAAAGTAAAGTATTTAGGAATAAACCTAACCAAGGAGGCAAAAGACATGTAGTTCAGAAAACTACAGAACTCTGAAGAAAGAAGTTAAGGAAGACACAAACAAATGGAACTGTATACTGTGTTCATGAATTGGAAGAATTAGCATAATTAAAATGTTCATACTACCCAAAGCAATTTTTAGATTCAGTGCAGTTCCTATTCAGATTCCAGTGATGTATGTCACAGAATTAGACCAAATATTTCAAATATTAATGTGGAACCACAGGAGGCCCTACATAGCAACAATGATCCTGAGAAAAAACAGAGTTGGAGGAATCATGCTACCTAATATGAAACTACACTACCAGGCCATAGTAATCAGCCTGGTACTGGCATAAGAACAGACACAAAGATCAGTGGAACAGAATAGAGAGCCCACAAATAAACCCATGTCTCTGTGGTCAATTAATGTTCGACAAAGGGGGAAGATGCATAAAATGGAGTAAAAATGGCCTCTTCAACATGTGTTCGAAGATCTGGTCAGTTACACGCAAAAAAAAAAAAAAAGAAACAAGACCACCAACTTACACCATACACAGAAATAAACTCAAGATAGATAAAAACCTTAAATATAAGTCATGAAAGACCATAAAAGTCCTAGAGGAAAACATAGGTAGGAAAATTTTAGATATTCCATGCAGCAAAATTTTCACTGACATGTCCCTGAGAGCAAGCGACATAAAGGAAAGCATAAACAAACAGGATATCATCAAAATAAAAATCTTCTGTACAGCTAAAGAAAACAGCATTAAAATGACAAGAAAACCAATTGTATAGGAAAGCATATTTGCCAATGATACCTCAGACAAGGGCTTGATCTCCAAAATATATAAAGAACTCATACGACTCCACTCCAGGAAGACAAAAGACAGATTAAAAACTGGGCAAAACACTTGAACAGATACTTCTCCAAGGAGGACATACAGAGGGGCCGGAGACTATGAAAAGAAGAAAAATAAAGTATTTAGGATTACTCAGCATCGCTAGGTATTAGAGAGATGCAAATTAAAATCACAATGAGATAGCACTTCACACAGGTCAGAATGGCCATCATAACCAAATCAACAAGTGTGGCAAGGTTGGGGAGAAAAGGGAACCGTAGTGCACTGTTGGTAGGAATGCAGACTGGTACAGCCACTGTGGAAAACAGTATGGAATTTCCTCAAAAAACTAAAAGTAGAACTGCCTTTTCACCCAGTGCTCTGATTATACCCTAAGAATCCTGAAATACCAATTCAAAAGATCCTATGCATCCTAATGTTCTTAGCATTATTTATAATAGCCAAGTGCTAGAAATGGCCTAAGTGCTCTTCAGTAAATGAGTGAATCAAAAATCCGTGGTATGTTTACACAATGAAATACTACACAGCAGAATTAAAGAAGGAACCCCTACCCTTCGCTACAGCATGGATTGAACTAGAACTAGAGAGTATTATGCTAAGTGAAATAAGCTAGGTGGTGAAAGACAAATACCATATGATCTCACCTATAAGTGGAACCTAATCAGCAAAACAAACAAGTGAGCAAAATAGAACCAGAGACATGGAAATAAAGAACAAACTGACAATAACCATGGAGGAAGGGGGAAGAGGATAACTGGAGAAAGATGGGGGAGGGTCAAGGAACACATAAAGGACCTATGGGCATGTACAACTGGGGGACGTAATTGAATGTTGGAGGTGGGGGGTGGGTCAGGGCTGGGGAGAGTAATGGGAGGAAATGGAGACAACTATAATTGAATAAAAATAAAAAAATTAAAACATACCGTGCTAAAAACATTATATATTAGTTAGAATTTTATGAAATATAGTTCCTGCATGGGAGAAGAAGAATTCAACCAAAGCACAAATGTTTTATTTCAAACCAATTTTTAATGTTTTCCTGATTTTCCACTTTTACTTATGTTGAATACCAATGAAAAATACATAAAATACTCTTGCTTTTTTCAGAGCTTTTAGTTTCTTTGTGTTTTGTTTAATGCAGTACCTGTTTAGTTATACCAGTTGTGTTTTTCAGAGTTATCCAGTCTGTGCATATTTTAGGAGACAATTTCTGTAGAATTTAGAGTGCCTAGACTCTTCCAAACAAGACCTTATAAAGGAATGTCTTGAAAATATCCATTAGCACTGAGGTGACAATGTTACATTACCTACGAATTGACATACTATTAAAAGCTTATAATAACTGTGATAATAAAAGTTGTGAGTTACAGGTTTTATATGAACACTCAACTATGCATTTTATAGAGGTTTTATAATTGAATAATAATAATTTAAAAAGTAAAGCACATGCTATAGCTCAAAAACCAGCTCTTATGAATAGCATCTGTGGAGTTGGTCATAATACTTACTGAAGGTTTTATTATAAAGTTTTAAACAAAGACAGGCCCTAAGACATGATAATTTGAATGATTATATCAAACCATACTTTAACATTTTTAGAAATCTTACAGTACTATCCGAGTTATTAAAGAAAAAATAAGAATAGTATAATGCACTCTTCATGTCACTGCCCTTGTTAATTTTGTTTTTTTTAACAGCAAACGAAAGAGCACAGATATTGCTAAGTGTCAAGCATTCCATTTACAGTACAGTTCTTTTTAAAATATACTTAGTAACAAAGTGTTAAATACTCAATGTCTTCTTTTTTTGAGGAAGAATTTTCAAAAATGAAATACATGCAAAATCACTTGTATGGAAGAGAAAACTGCAATCAATGCAATTTTTGTCCTAAAATAAGTCACTGGATGTACCACATGGGAATAGATTTTTACTTCTGAGCATAACACTAACATTATTAATAGAGTTCAAGTACCCCAAATGTAACAATTTTTTATTTTACATTAAATGGAATTACTAATTATTACTCTCTGAAGTTCCCAAGCTGAACGCTCATTCTGCTCAAAACACAACGAAATGTTGCAGGTTGCACTTCCCAGTACTTCATTGGGTTGTTGAATAAACTTATTGCACTGTATAATGATTTCTTCATCTTTGGCACTGTTGGGCAGAAGTCATTCACTCCCACTTTTGTAATTGAATTAGAGTGAAGGAAGATGATCTGTTGTAGTAAAAAGAATGGATTTAAAGTATACAGTACATGTAAAAGAAGATGCTCTTTATAATTTATAGGTTTATTTTACACTGGTTTGAATATATTTCACTTAAGATGTATGCCTGTTAAATACTTAATTCAGCAACTCAGGCTCATGTGTTATATATAAAAGTGCTGTATGTGTGAAGTATGGTATAGGACTCATGCCAAGCCCTAGAACACACTGCCTAGTTAGCACCATTCTTCTTCTCTACACATGTATAGATGGGTGTGTATGTGTGATCACTTCAGTGCCTTATGTATGATAATTTTAAGAGTGTTGTATTAGTATTAGAGCCCTGAATGGTGTGGCTCAGTTGGTCCCGCAAAGCAAAAGTTCACTGGTTTGAACCTGGTCAGGGCATTTGCCTGGATTGTGGATTTGGTCCCCGGTCCCCCATCAGGGTGTGTACAAGAGACACCTGATCAGTGTTTCTATCTCACATCAATGCTTCTCTCCCTATCTCCCTCCCACCCCTCTGTCTAAAATAAACACATAGTTTTAAAAGTATTAAAAATGAGCAGAAGAATGCAATTTAATGCTTCAGGAATAGGCTTGCAATATAAATGTGAAGAATTGTTATCTAGAATTTTCTGTGATCAAGGGAGAGAAGTGTAGAGCTGCTTTTATGTAAGCTGTTTTGTAGAAAAATATATCTGTTGACAAATACATATCTGTAATACAGCATAAATAGTTGAGTATTTGCACCACTGCAGAAACTGAATTATTATAGGCTTTGTGTATATCTTTACATCAAATTATTATTGAGGATAGACAATATAGAGTCTTCCCTTTATTTCCTTTAAAACCCTTTAAATTCCTTTTTTGATCTTTTTTGGCAACTGAGATTTCTGGGAAGTAAAAAATATATACTTAATTTTTTTTTAAAGATTGTATTTATTTTTAGAGAGGGAAGGGAAAGAGAGAGAGAAACATCAATGTGCGGTTGCTGGGGGTTCTGGCCTGCAACCCAGGAATGTACCCTGGCTGGGAATCGAACCTGGGACACTTTGGTTCCCAGCCCTCACTCAATCCACTGAGCTATGCCAGCCAGGGCTAATATATACTTAATTGATAGCATTTTGGCATATTAAAAAAAATTGGACCCTCTTGCTGGCAAAGCTAAGATACTGGTTCTGGCTGTTACTCTATATTCTGCCTTTATGTCTTGGTGAGATTGACCTGAGCCAGTCATGAGAATTCTAGGCATTACTAAAACCTTTAAGTTTGGTGTTGGAGCCGCCTCTGCCCTCTGTCTTGGGGATTTTGTGACAGATGCCTTTGTTATTGTTCCGCATTTCCCAGCAGCTCAGTGTGAGTGCAAGATGCAGTTTACCATAGCATGGACCTCATTAGGAATGGGAAACAGTGCTGGACATGTATCCTGTTTGCTTTATGAACATTCATTGAATTGTATCCTTATGACTTGTGTTCTTCTCTGTTTGTGTTACAATTCTATTCATCTTTTTAAAATGCCAACAAGAGGTAGATTTAAGAGTGCCCAGAAACTGGGAACAGAGTTGTGGAGTTAAGTATGTAAAGATGGGACAGCTCGAGAGAGAAAGGACTCAGGTCCTGCTCACTGGTTAACAACAGACATTTAAATCTACCACTTCAAAAAGTCAAAGTAAAAGATGTAACTTGGAGATGAACACCTATATATAGCACATCCATTTCGATGGCTTGGACCTCAAAGGAGTGTTGCTAACAAAACTTTAAAAAATAAATAAGAAAGAAATGTAGAAGCAAGTACCTCAAAGCCCAGGTTTGTTCTCAGTATGTTTTTGCTTCTTGGAAGATGAAAACATTGTATAGCAAAATAACCATATGAAAAAAATAGGCTAAGGTAAAATGGGATTAAGTATGGATTCTTAATTTGAGGTCTATAAATGAGAATCAAGGAGATCTGTAACATTTCTAAAATTCTGTGCAAAAGGTTGTCTTCATTTTTGTTCCTGGAAGGATCTTTATGCAATTCTCCAAGGATTATGTGGCCCCTCCCCGCTAGTCAGGAGTTGCCAGATTATAGGAAAAAGATTTTTAATAATTAGAACAAGAAATGTGAATATATGATGTTCCAAATACTGACTTTTGATTTTATTTTCTGGCCTGAGTTTTTTAAAAAGCATACACACTTTTAATTTAGTACCACATTAGTAGTGAGAATACCTAGGACTTTGTCTACATGGTTTGCCTTTATTAAATGTTTCCAAAGTGTGAAAGGATATGTGGTCCTACTTGATTTCCTCCTGACCAGTCCTGCCTTTACATAGCCACTGCCACCCAGAAACCTGAAATTAGCTAGTGCCAGTGCTGTAATGTCCTTGGCAGTGGCAGTTTTAGTAGGAGAAAGGGAAGGATGCATATAGGTACTTGAGTATTTTAGCTGACGTTCCCATAGAAACCAGTATCCTAATGCTCTCCTACTTTACCCTTACAATTTACTTGGTCTCTCTGCCTTAGGTGTTAATAGGTTTCATGAGAACAAAGAAAAGTACTAATATCTACAAAACACAAGTAGAATGTTTTACCTGGAGGTATTTCAACTCCTGTAATCCTGAAGGGATTTTTTTTAGTTTATTGTTTTCCAAGTGTATTTCTCTTATGCGTGGTATGTTAGCGAGACTTCCATTTTCAATATCTGTGATTCTGTTGTTTCCTAGACCCAGCCTAAAAGTGATATAAAATTCATCAACTCTTAAGAAGATGGAGTGATGCAGTTAGACGAAAGCACAACTGAGTTAGAAATATAAACCTGACCTATATATGTGTGCAGGGAAAGTATTTCATGGTTTTATTTAATAACCTATTTTAGTATGTTAATGGCCCTCTCCTCCATTGTCAGAAAATTCTTTATGTAATATTTGAAAATTTTTGTTTTCTCATTCTATTTGGTATCCTGTTCCATTATAGAAATGGAATAATAGCAGTACTTTCCAGTTTTCCTAGTAGTAACAGTATAATCTTGATTAGGTCCCTATAATATTACCCCCAAAATTTCATTAATATCTTCATCATATAGAGTACCACTTGTAGGTTAGGATTTGGGAAACTTTTACCTCTGTAGATCTTTGTATCGTTTAAAATCCTCCAGTTCCACAGTTGAAATTTTATTAAAATCTAAATGAAGCTCTAATAGAGTTGATGGTAGTTCTAATGATAAGGAAAGAAAGGTGTGTTAGATCAAGTAAGATCAATCTCAGTTGATTTACTTGTTAAGTTTCACATTATATATAATCTTAGGTAACTTTTTAGGGATCTGCTTTTATTAAACATTCTATTATGGAAAACTTCAAACATACACACAAATTGAAGGTAGTAATACCAACCATCATGCTGTTGGCCCAACTGCAATAATTGTCTTAATTTTTCCAATTTTGTTTCATCTACCCCATTAGTTATTCATTATTGATTTTTCAATTGAAATTTTGGGGAGTAACATTGGTTAATAAAATTATATTGCTTTCAACCATACAGTTCTGTCATATAACATCTGTATATTGTATGGTGTTCACCACCCAAAGTCAAGTCTCCTCCTTTTATCATTTATGCCCCTTTTATTGTATCCTACCTTCCCCTATACCTCTTTTCCTCCACTATTATCTGTGTCTATGAGTTTTGTTCTCTCTCTCTTTTTTTTTTTGCTTAATCCCTTCACCTTTTTCACCCAGCCCAACAATACCCCTTCTCTGATTATTATTAGTAAAAACACTTGATTTTTGTTTATTCACTTGTTTTTTGCTGGCCTATTTAAACTTAAATTCTATACATAATGATAATTCACCTGTAAAGACTTTACTAGATGTCTTTAACTCATATAGTTATCTTCTATTTATGTAACCATCATATCAGTATCACATCTAACAAAATTAATAACAATTACTTACTACATCTTAAAACAAGTTTTAAGAGATATAAGAACCAAATAAATGTACTTGTAAAATTTATTAGGATCCTGACTTGAACAAATCAACTGTAAAACAATATATATGAGATCATTAGGGAAATTAGGAGCCTGCTTGAGACAAAGCCACCTTTGTTTTTTGTTTTTTTTTCTTTTTCTTCTAAGGGGCCATTGCAGAGGTTTCCTAGCCACTCACCTTTGGCTCAGGGAAGTGAGGGCAGCACTGTCTGCAGTCGTGTGAGGAGAGTCTAGAGTGGGAGGCTTGGGGGAGGTTCTTGGGGAACCAGCTGCTGGGTTCCTAGTGCTGGGCTATAACACCGTACTGCAGCAGCCAGTTTTCTTCAGAAAAGCAAAACCCTTGCAGGGGAAAAACAGTTACCCCATCCTGTGGGAAAACTGCTCACCCCAGCCTCTGAAAGCCTCCTACTCTCATCCTCGAATCCTGCTTGCCACATCCTTTAAAATCCTGCTTACCCTACCTGGCTTCTTTCTAATTTTCCCCCAACCTGCATCTTATCCCCTGCCAAGGAGACAGGAACATAGGTAGACTGAGGAGTGTTAGAAACTGGCTTTAGGACATTGCCATTATATATACCTTCCCAGGAACCAGACTGCTTCGAACACACAGGAAAGCCTAGGAACACTGTCAGACCCATACTCTGGGCTCTGGAGGCCTCACCTCCTACCCTACTAGGGACTTTGCCCTGCTGAGTTCAGAGAAATACTCAGAGACAGACGCAGATATGTGAACACACCAGCCATCTTCCCTGAAGTCTGAATGGCACCTCCTACAGGAGATCCAGGCATCCTATCCTACTCATTCCACTAGAAGTACTCTTAGAAACAGACAGGTCAGCAGCTAGACTAAGACTAATGGCAGGACTGCAGGCAGAGGCAGGTGGAGGCGGTACCTGCAGTACTTTCAGATGTTAGTTGACCCACATCTAGGCCTGGTGCTGCTAAAAAGCCAGGAGTGTGCAACAGTGAGGTTGACCTCAGATGTCATAAACTGTGGAAAAGCTTATGGCTTCTAACAGGCTGCCTAGAGTTAAATGGGGACAACTTCAGAACACCAGGAGTGTATCCAGAAGGAGAAGCCAGCAGGCAAGCACTAAACTCCTCTGAGACAAAGTCCACCTTGATCTCCTCCATTGTTTGAGCTATTTTTCTTTCACATACCTTTTTAACTTCTTTCCTGTTTCTTTAATTTTGCTCCTATTTTTCACTGTTTTTTAATTTCAAATCTCATATTTTACTCTTCCCTTTTACTACTCCATTTTGCCATCTTCCTTCCCTTTGTTATTTCATTTTAAATTTTATTTGTTCCTTTTCATCACCTTGTTTCTACTCCTTACTCTTACAATTTCTCTTCCCTGTATCCTCTCAAAATCATCATTCTTTCCTTTAGTCATCTTATATTCTTTTTTCTTTCATATAATATTCTTATTCTCTTTCCACCTTTATTAATCTTTGCTCATTTGTTATTGGCATTGCTGCTGTTGGGGGGTATTGTTGCTGGTGTGTTTTTTTTTTTTTTTTTAATTTTCTTTTTTTGGTTAATATTCTGTCAGCACCTGTACAGCAGCATACAAGACATGGTGGAGGCTGACTCTCCATCAGCCCATTGGAGGGGAGCACCCACTAATGAATGAGCCAACAACAATCAAAACCCAAATACAATAGGAGAGCCCACATAAACTTCATAAAAGGCATCCCTAGAGCATCCAGCTCAGGAGATCAAGGAGACTGCATCACTGAGTCCCACAGGACTCCTGCCATAGAAGGCCACTGCATGAAGACAAGGAGTCAAAGCAGATCAATCTAATATGTAGAAACAAAAAGTCATCTAAAATGGGGAGACAAGAACCCCCAATTGAAAATAAATGAGCAATCTCCAGGAAGAAAACTAAATGAAATTGAGGTAAGCAATTTATCAGACACAGAGTTCAAAATAATGGTTATAAGGATGCTCAAGGAACTTAATGAGAACTACAAGGAACTCAGTGGGAACAACATCAGCCTAAAAAAGGACGTAGAGCCTTGGCTCCTGTGGCTCAGTGGATTGAGCACCAGCCTGTGAACTGAAAAGTTGCTAGTTCAATTCCCAGTCACAGCACATGCCTGGGTTGCAGACCAGGTCACCAGTTAGGGTCGTGCAAGAGGCACTGGTCTATGTTTCTCTTGAACATTGATGTTTCTCTCCTTTTCTTTCTCCCTCCCTTTCCTGTTCTATAAAAAATATTTTTAAATGAAATTTTTAAAAAATGATATAGAAACTGTGTGTAAGAACCAGGTTGAAATGAAAAATGCAGAAGAAGGAATTAAAAGCAGGCTAAATAAAGCAGAGGATTGAATCAGTGAGTTGAAAGACAAGGTAGGGAAAAACCACCCAGTCGAAGCAGCAAAACGAAAAAAGACTCAAGAAGAATGAGAATAGTTTAAGGGAGCTTTGGGACAACATGAAATATAACAATATTCACATCATAGGGCTACCAGAAAGAGAAGAAAGGAAGCAAGTGATAGAAAACCTATTTGAAGAAATAATGACCAAAAACTTCCCTAATTTGGTGAGGGAAAAAGTTAGACAGGTTCAGGAAGCACAGAGTCCCAATAAGATGAACCCAGACAGGCCCACTCAAAAGACACATTACAATCAAAACAGCAAAATTTAAAGACAAAGAAAAAATCTTAAAGGCAGCAAGGGAGAAACAGCTAGTAACATACAAAGGGGGTTTCAATACGGCTATCAGCTAATTTCTAAATGGAAACCCTATAGCCTGAAGGGACTGGCACAAAATATTCCAAGTAATGAAAAGCAAGGACCTACAACCAAGACTGCAATATCCAGCAAGACTCATTTAAAACTGAAGGCTAAATAAAAGAGTTTCCCAAATTAAAAGCAAAAAGACTAAAGGTACATTTCCACCAAACAGGCATTGCAAGAGATGTGAAAGGGACTGCTTTAATAAGAAAAGGATATATAGAGAGAAACACAAGTACAAAGAGAGAAAATTTCAATGATTAAATACCTATCAGTAATAACTTTAAATGTAAATAGATTAAATGCTCTAATCAAAAGACCTAAGGTAGCTAAATGAGTAATTAAACAAAGCCTGCAAATATGCTGTCTACAGACCCACCTCAGAACAACAGATTTATACAGACTGAATATGAATGGGTGGAAAAAGAAATACTGCATGCAATGGGCATGAAAAAAAAAGCTGGGGTAGCAATACTTATATCAGACAAAATAACTACAAAACTAAGGCCATTATAAAAGACAAAGAAGGTCACTACATTATACTTAGGGGAGTACATACCCAATATAGGAGCACCTAAATATATAAAGAAAATCTTGGAGTACTTTAAGAAAGATTGACAGCAATGCAGTCATTGTAGTGGATTTTAACTACCCATTGTCAACAATGGACCAATCTTCCAGACAAAAAATCAACAAGGATGTGGCAGCATTAAATTACACACCAGATCAAATGGACTTAATTGATATTTACAGAACATTTCATCCCAAAAAAGCAAAATACATATTCTTCTCAAATGTACATGTATCATTTTCAAAGGTAGAGCACATGGTAAGACACAAAATAAGCCTTAACAATGCCAAGAAAATTGAAATCATATCAAGAATCTTCTTGGATCACAAAATGGATTAAATCTAGAAATCAACTTCAAGAAAAAATCAGAAACATTCAGATACATGGAGGCTGAATAAGATGTTATTAAACACTGAGTGGGTTAACAATGACATCAAGGGAGAAATCAAAAAGTTTCTGGAAACATATAACTATGAACACACAACATCCCAAAACCTATGGGACACAGTGAAAGCAGTCCTGGGAGGGAAATTCAGAGCAATACAAGCCTATGTAAAAAAGATATAAAAATCTCAAACAACCTAACACTACACCTAAAAGAACTAGAGGAACAACAACAAAGAAAGCCCAGAGTGAGTAGAAGGAAGGAAAGTATCAAGATCAGAGCAGACTAAATGACATACAGACAAAAAATATATATACACAAAGGTTCAATAAATCCAGGAGCTGGTTCCTTGAGAACATAAATGAAATTGACAGACGTTTAACCACACTCATGAAGAGAAAAAGAGGGAGGACCCCCCAAAATAAAGTGACAATGAAAGAAAAGTAACAACCAATACCACAGAAGTACAAAGGATTGTAAGACATTACAATGAACAATGATATGCCAAGGAAATGGACAACTGGGTGAAATG